CAAACCTACTTTTACTTTATCACTTCTCCACGTTCTCTTCCGTCTTGTGAACGGCTCTTCGGCCTGAGGGATGCGACATGCATTTGACTTCATTAAACATCATTTGGAGATGATTGAATGTATATCTGGCCTTTACAATGACTCGCGGTGGCCTACCGATGTATCGAGCCAGTGCCGCTATCCTCCCAGACTTGCTGGGCCATGGGCGCGGGTTCAATTTCGCGTGTTTGTTGCAAGACGCCTCGGAGCACTGCGTCCCACGCGCGAACATATAATTAGATGACCTTAATAAGGCAACAACTTTGCTAACGTTCGAGTATATAATACATTTTTTTATTCGGTTTCGCCTAACAAAGTTCTTCTCAGTATTGAAAAAGAAACTGCCAAGTAGCAACCTCTCACTTCTGATTCATTGAAGAACTCGCACGATGATGTTGCAAATGGTTACTATGTATATTATGATAGACACTTGACTCGAATCACTGCGGGGTCTGTTGAAAGTGACCCTGCTTGTAATAAAGATTTATAACAATCTTGTGTGTTGCGCGTGTTTCGCAGTGGTTGGAGGCGCCACAGCGGCACACACGTGGAATCGATCCCCGCGAGCATGGCCCACCAACCCTTCCGTCCTTCCGTGGTTGGCAGATGATAGCAGCACTGGCTCTATACAACGGTAGACCACCGCGAGTCATTGCAAAGGCCAGATATGCATTCAGTCGCCTCCAACGATACTTAGTGAAGTCGAATGCATGGCGCATCCCTAAGGGATTGATAAACTTAGAGAGCTTTATCTTTCATCCTTTAACAACCTCGTGTAAGCTCCTCTAAAAACCAGCGTATTTACTATTCACGTCTAGGTTCAGTAGAAGTCGGAATTGAATGTTTGCCATGTATTCTTTTCTTGACCTAGGAGGGGGATAATAAAAAAGAGTTTTTTCGGCTAACTTGTTGACGTCTTCGTCTTCCTCGGAGCCGATTACCCGAACAGGTGATAAACACATGAATAATTTTTATCTTTCACGTAGATGGAACACTAATTATGGTCTCCTAAAGTCTAGTGCTATTCAAACTACTGTGATTGAGCGTTGAATGTGGACAAGAAGTAATCTGTCTATTTAGGAAAATCCACAAGTCGCGTCTGCAATTCGTCCACCTGTCTTCACCGAGGACGAGTACCACCACCATTGCCTCAATAGCGGCCAGAAATAAAGGGTATTGAGCGCTTCTATTCTGGTGATCCATCGTTTGCATAAATAGAAGTTCTGATGTCATATTTTCGAATTTCAAACATACTCATTTAGTTGGATCAATGAAAATATCGTAGCCATTTCCATCCGCCACCCAGTTGATTGTGGCTAACATGCAAAGGCTGTCAATATAATATAGAGCTAACAGAAATTTGAACATAATATACTCACTATATAACCGCTTTTGATTTTTCTTTCTTCACGGCAGGGTCTGATGTGCGGGTCCTTTCTTTCACCTGAGTTTTCGGCTGAGAGAAAGGCGTGCTGTGGTGAACCCGTTTGCCCTCGGAAAAGGTAATAGCGAGGTTCAATCCTCGCCGCAGACACTTGCTGTCCGGAGTTTGCAAGTATCTCAGCATCATTGTGGTTACAATGTAGTCACTTTTTTCTTACTGTGTATTTTTGCCAACGGAAGGGTATTATGCGCACACAATACTCTGCCACTAAAAAGACAAAGGATAAAAGGTAAAGCTCTTGGCATTGATCAAACCCTGAGCGATGCACCGTGCATTCGACTTTATTAAACATCGTCGAAAGCGACTGAATGAATTTCCGACCTATACATTCACTCAGAGTGATCTACAGTATCTAAAGAAGTGCTGCTATCCCCCTAGAGAGGTCTGGTACCAATCTGCCAATCCGGAGGGGTGGAGGGCATGGTGAGCCTAGTATGCGGGATAGAACCATGCGTATTGCAGGGTTCCTTTGACCACTGCGCTACACAAGGCTCTCTGCGCTACATGCGCACCCATACAGCACAACGCATTTGTCCGACTCCATACCGAGCCAACTAAGCACTGTAGAGCTCTCCTTGCGAAAAGTTCTCTCTTTATCTGTGCGGTGATGTATTTCGTATCGATCGGATAATAATCTCGAAGCAGCTACTGCGTTAAAGTCTTTTAACAAGACGGCTACTCCTACATATATCACTTGATGTGAGTGGAGTTGCCGCTAGAAAGAAAATCTTATGTCAACGCTAGGATTCGAATAGCTTCTTGAATTTTCTCAGCTAGTACATATAGGAAAAATGGGATAATTTTCTGCAAAACATTTGTCCCAATAGGTGGTAACGATTTAAGCAATATGGCGTACAATAAGCTTTTATTATATAAAAGTGATTTGTGGAATAAAGAAACATTCGCGACAAAAAGTTTGTCAATACAAAGAAGCGACAACCTGAGGGCCTCATCACAAAAGAGTGAAAGTGATCATGTTAATAACAAGGGAAAGACGTGCTTAAGGCCCATCATGAGCACATCCTTCGTGAAGAATTCTGGATATTTGGAGCGCCCGTGGAGACTAGAAGTCACCTGCATTACCCCAAGATCGCTCATTTTGCTTCGATCCCAAGTTTTTTCACCACGCCTTCCACCCTTCCAGGCTCGGAAAATTGGTACAGGATTTCGGGGAGGATGCTCTAGAATGACAGCGGGACTGGCTTGATGCATCGGTAGACCTCCGAAATTCATTGTAATTGCTATATACGCATTCGATCACTTTTAACAATGTTTGGTAAAAGCGAATGCATGAGGTACCTCTAAAGGATCAATCAACGCCGAGTCTTTATCCTTCATTCCCAATTCATACACCTATTTCGGGTTTCCCCAATAAAGAAGTAGGTCACGAAACTTAAGCATTAACGAACACATTTAGACAGCCTAGGGCTACGGTATGCATCCGAATTCATTCGTAGCACCGTAGAGCTGTCTGAATGCATATTTTATATACATTTAAGCTTACGGGAAAAGTAAATCAATGTTTTTATCTTTTTTGGCACAGTTTCGCTGACAAGGTAAAAGTGGGGGGCTCAATTTGAGACTTGATACTTGAATAGTCCTTCCTGGTTGTGTGGGCCCCAACACAATCACCATTTATCGGAGATTTCCTGGTTAAACCATTGTGGTTCCCTGGAGTCGCGAAGTCAGCCTGGCCAAATTCCGACCAAGGTCTTCACAACCACACGCAGTCGCAGCCCTTGTGGATCAGAGGGAGATTTACCACCATTCGACTTTGATACCAAGATGATGATGGATCCTGGCATTAGTTTAATCTTAGCTAGGCTTCCTGATGGAAACACCTGACTCCTTCCCAGCTTGAGAGACCCTGCCAGGGGTCCTCCGCTGTACTTCGCAGTCCAACACCCGGGAACACCTCCCAGCCACGATTAGGCGGTAAACCGTTGGGAGATAAAGCAAACTACTACAGGAATATTTTTCAAACTGAAAGGCATTTTATCTCCGTGGTAGTAATCAGTGCCTTTTTGGTATTCCTGTGGATCAGAGAGAGATTTGCCACCATGTGACTTTGATGCCAGGGCGATGGCGTTGGCTTCCTGAGGGAAATCCTTCCCAGCATGAAAGACCTTGCCGGAGAGAACAATCCCCACTGTACAACGTAGCCCGACACCCAAGAAGACCTTCCAGCTAAACCCTTGGGCCGACTCGTCAAACCCCATTATGTATCATGACAGAAGATCCATCTCGTTTCATCGAAACAAATTTCTTAATTTCTTGCAAATAAATTTTCTATTCCTATCATTCTTAGTAAAACTCCCTTTTAAACAGTCGACATAGTCAATGGAAAGATCTTGCGTTCCAGCGACGTTTAGTTGTTCACTTCCGTATTGTGATAATCATCAAGAAATGGAACTGCGAATGAATCACAATTTCATAGATAATCTCCAAAAATAGTTTAATTTTATACTTTATTTGATTAAAGACAAATTTTTATTTATACTGTAGTAAATTTTTTCAACGTTATTCAGAACTTATTAAAGTCTAACAGCGTCAAATAACATGAAGATACTACTTCCCAAGCCTTTAGAAGTAAGTGACGCAGTTGAACAGATGAAAAGAAGCGATGTTAAAATTGCTTAACGGAACGAAATAAGAGAAAGAGAGAAAAGAAGACGCTGAGCAGTATTCTTTTCCTTACCTGGAGTTGACTTAAACCAAAAACGTCAAGAACACTTAACACCACCCATGAAAGAACTTATTTATCAAGACTACCTAGTCATATTTCAGCCATTGAGAAAAATTTCCTTCTAGAAAGTAAATTTCTTCAACAGCATTATATACATTGGAGACGCTCTACGACTATACAAAAGCCTTCAGTGTTGATTTTTTAGAATACTTTAATAGTCAAGGTATTTGATATTCAATGAGATCGTATGAGGTGCTATTGTAGGCGTATAAGTGTAAGGAATATTGTGCATATGTATGCTTGCATGCATGCATGCATTTACGTGTGTATATATGTACGTGTTTATATGTATGTGTATGTACGTGTATATGCATGTATGTATGTACGTGTGCATGTATGAATGTATGTATGTCTGAATGTACAATATGTATGTACTTATATATGTCTTTGCATAGTTGTCTTTGCATGTATGTGCGTATGTGCGAGTATGCGGGTGTGTGTGTTTCTACATGTCTCGATATACACGGAACCGGTAATGTTAAGAATAAAACGTTAACCAAAAACATACCAATAACAAAAAGCGATGACCAGCAACTGTATCAAGGCACAGGGTAGCTATGTGGCAAAACGACAGCTAGGTACATACACAGACAAGTAAAATACTTACAATAAGGCATCGATTAATTGCTGTACATAATAACTAGGTATGAAATAAAGGTAATTTTAGTCCTCTTGCAATACCAAATTCCTCATCGAAAAATAAATGTGCGCAGTATGGAAACCGTTAGGAAGCGTGCACCTGTAGTCAACACTGAGCTGATCCGTCGTGACCTAGAAATGTGACTTTAAGTGACATGCCTCTACTGGTGTAATACTGCAGGAGTGCTGTGCTAGAACGAAGAGCGTTCAAAATTCTCTAAAAACAGCGCACCTGATAAGAACATAAGTGTGAAGCCGAAATACGATTCTTTTTCACAATTTTGCAGGTTAAAGAGCCACAAAATGAAGAACCACAAAGCGAAATTGGCCCAGAGAACACTTGAAAATACAATGATATTTTTCAGTTATAAAGAGGAATAAAAACAGATGTGGTTGAAATTCACTTTAAACTGTATTTGTATTTGGAGGGGATGCCGACATCTTAATTGCAATTTCATATGGCGGTGGAGGACCTTGTGGTACGCCACAAATCCACATATCTTCAGCCAACGATTCGCTTAGAACCGATTCTAAACAACAAAAATAAGAGCGATGACTAATCCAAACTCTTCTATTGAACCTCTCTCCCCATGAAGTTTTCTCTTTCTTATGTATTCGGGTGCGAAAAAAGAAGTTTTTATAAATATTGCGCAACAAACACGTAAAGGATAAAGCTCTCGGCGGTGATCAATCGTGAGGGATGCGCCATGGATTCGTCTTCTTTAAACGCCGTCAAAGAAAACTAAATAAACATCCGGACTCTGCAACGGCTCGTAGTAGCGTACCAATGTATCGAATCAATGCTGCCATCATTCCAGACAAGTCTCAAAACAATTTGTCGATCCCGAAATGATGGATGGTTTAGTGAGCCTAGGTAACTAGATCGAACCCAAATGTATTGCGTGACACCTCTAACCACTGCGCTACAGGCGCCTCTCTGCTCTGCATACGCCCCCATACCTCGCGATACACGCACTATACTCTTTGGTTTGACCCTATACCAAGCCAACCGAGCATCGCCTTCCTATGAGAACATCCAGTGAACGTTAGACTTGTTTGGGAAGAGTTCTCTCCGATCCATAATGACCTGCCTCCTATGAAGACTTTAGAACGCTCCAGAAAAACTATCCCGAGGTTCCAGGTAGAATCAACTCGACTGGTATTTAAAGTATTTTATAAAGAAGGCGAAATAATTAAGTAACAAACCAACGCATGTATAAATCTCATGGCAATCGTTGATGACCGACTCAAGAGAATGAACCTAATGAAGTAATCATCACGTGTTTATATTCTTGAGCCTACATGAGGATGATAAAGATGTTCATTCGGCTAACGTTTCGAGGGTTTCGTCTTCATTAGAGCCGATGATCAGAGTCGATGGTCCACAGCTCAACAGTATAAGCACATGTTCACTATTTTGCTATCGAGGTTAAATGACGGTCGGTTTAAAAATTGTTGTTTTAGCAAGCGTTCTCAGTGCACATATGGCGCAGTGGTCGGAGGCGCCTTGAAACAGACACGTGGAATCGATCGCTAAGCCTGTGGCACCACAAGCCTTCCTTCCCTCAGGATCGGCAAACTGGTGCCAGACTTGTCTGGGAAGAGCTTCAAATTTCAGATGGAAACTCCAAACTCTGAAAACTGTATCATTTTGAGAATACTTCGTTGCAGAAGAAGTAAATTTTTTGCAAAATTATACAAAATCTGACTCTCCAATGCCATATTCCACTTTCAATCTGACCACTGAATTCAATTGAACGTGTCTCCGGCATAACAGCTGAATAACGATTCGAGCATGGTAACTCAAGATTTGACTTTGTGCGCAATTACGCAAGTACTTAGCACCCTACTTAATTGGATGGTTCCCCTGGAAAATCGTATGGACCCTAGCACTTTTTCTATGTGACAGATTTATCTCTCTTAGCCAGATATCTTTTTCTGAGGTTCCGAAAAATCTGTCCAATGCATTTCCGTGTTGATAATCAAATTTTCTACCTTGTGACCGAACTGACAGCAGAACTTCGACAACTCCTCCCTTTCACTTACTTGACTTAGCTGTAATTTGGGATAACTGTGAGACATACAGAAAAGTCCAAGCAACGATGCGGTAGCAAACTATGTGTTGTGGTGAAAGGAGTGGTGTTACATGAAGCAAACCTGTACAATTATTTTACCTTGACTTCGTGGATTCTGTGATCGTGTCCTGTCGGCGTATTGACTGTATATTCGACAACCAAATGTGAATACAAACACAAGAAGAAATATGCCGATCGTTACACCGGCTGCTATACCACTATTCACTGGCACTTGTTCTAAACAAAAAAAACAACTTATGGAGAAGGAAAGGAAAATTATTTCAATAGACCGTATCGCTCACTGTCATGGTGTTCATTAACGTAGTACCGATCCCATGTGACTGGTCGATACGTGTGATATGGCCATAATGCCTGCATGCTAGCATCAGAGGCCAGTGTCTGTCTGAAAGAAAGCTCCTTAACTTTGACCGACTTGGGAACACTGCAAGGAAAACGAGACATGGGCATTCGGAAAAATACTGGCAAATCCGAAAAGAAAACTTCTAATTCCATACTTACCGAACACAAAAACTACAATGGAAGAAAAGAACTAAGACCAATGAAAATCTCACAGCATCATTTAAGACAAAATTCGTGAGAGAGAATGTATAGGAAAAGAAAAGAGGTATAGCCCAGTAAAAAATACTGCGAGATTTTTCAAAAAAAGTGAAATGATCGAAAGAAAATGAGAACCTGACCTGTTGAGGTAGACTCTGCTAACGTTATGAAGTGACTAGCAAAGTGATAAAATGTATGCGCATAAACGATTTCCTAGAGTCAATAAGGAATCAGAAGAGATGAAAGACGTCTACTAAAATAGTAGACGTTGTCATCGTCGTCGTCGTCGTCCATTCACTTCAGAATCATCGCTGCTTCCCACATGTTATTGACGTAGTTTTTTCGTTGGGAATTTACAGCAGGTTAAAGGATTTTTGTTTCCGACAGATTTATCTCTTGAGGGCTTTGTTTTTCATACAGACATCAACATTGTCATATTTTCGGACGAAATTACCGAGATCCTTGGTCATTATCGCGAGAATATTGTAGTTTCAAACTCACAACAGTTCAAAAATATCATATGCTACAGGTTAGAGAACTAGTGAAAGCGAAAAATATTAGACGATCAGTTGGCGGGAAAGGTAAAGCGTTTGTAGTAATCCTTCGTCAACTAGATGTTGAGATTACCAAGAAGCATGTTGAATATGTTTTCCTCAATCGACCATCTTCTGAGAAGGAATTCAAAAGCCAACACCGAAACTGAACAACGAATGGGTCAAAGTGGCAAAAAGTGGCTGCTTAAAAACCAATTATTTCGCAATGTTAGCAAAATAGAGTTTTTATCAACTTTATGCTAGGTTATCAATCAAAAAGAAATCATGACTTAGCGTGCACCAACGACCCTGAGTCTACTGACTGCTCAACGTTCAAGGTTAGATCTATTATCGTTTATGTGGACGAGACCACGGATAAAATAGCTTTGTCTGTGAACCTAATACTCATTCAGTTGCTGAAACACACCCGATCCCGTCTCACAAATCTCAAATATTCCTGGATCATCTAGGTAACGCATATTCTAACAACGCGTACGTGATAGAACCCTTCGACGTTAGCGCCCTTTATTCAAACATCCTCTGGCTTACTCCAACATGCAAGGCATTTTCAACTCGTTATGTAGCACGAAGGAGTAATAAACATGCATGGCCTTTCGATCCAGTAGTCAGATGATCTGGAAAGTATTACCCACAAATGAGAGTGTTGACAATAGGACAGCAACTGACACCAAGTCTTGCCATGGTGTTGCAAATCTGCAGAATGACTTCATAAACAGCATTAGCTTGATTCCAGATTTCATTGATTAAAACACTAAAGACACAGCCAATAGAGATTTTCAACATTACCAAGGATGTACAACTCAAGTAATTGTAAACACGTTTGTCCAGTGCAAATAAGAAAAAGCAATGAATGCACCACTTTAGACGCGTATTTAATATCTGAACACGAAAGCATCGTTAAAAGAAAGCGTATCCATTTTTAGGGCCAATTCTCAACAAACCTCAGTTAATATTTCAGTATATAACAGTATGCGTGTGGCGCAGAGGTCGGAGGTCCCTTGCGACACACACACATGGGTCACCAAGTCTTCCATCTCTCCAGTGTCGGTAAATTGGTACCAGACTTGTCTAGAAGGATAGCAGCACTGGATCGGTATATCGGTTGGCCATCGCGAGTCATTGTAAAGGCCAGATATGCATTCATTCACCTCCAAACGATGCTTAACGAAGTCGCATGCATGGCGCTTTCCTCACGGATTGATCACCGCCGACAGCTTTATTCTTTATTTAACGGTGTGCTATAAAATTTCTTCAGTAAAATGGATATTTCTACTCAAAAAACTTCCAAAAAAACTTGAAGGTCCAGTCCTCGTTAACATGATGTTGGTCCAATCGGTATAGTGACCACAGATTTCGCTCATCTGAGGGATCTCGAGCCGGTTAGTTGCGAGGCCACGTGGAGCGTCCCCAGGTGGCGGATAGGGTGTTTATCGTTAACCAAAAGCGATCCTTACTTCCCTGAGGCGCAGGTGGATCTGGGGAAGGGCTTCCTGTTTTTGATGCGCTGATTTGGCACATGCTGTATTTGCTAGCCGTATTCATGCATACGTGTGTGGATGCGTTCTTGCTTATGCGGATTGTATTCTACGAGTCAATTCGGCCAAAAAACTGTAATCAAGTGACTGGTAAGTGTATGAGAGGCGGTTAGGAGTCGTCTCCAACAAATAAGCTCCATGTTAACTCTGGGAGAGCCTGGTAAGCTACCCATAAGCATACGCAACCTCCACGTCCAGAGCCCAGTAAGCTATACGTGGGTATCAAAAATGCTAAACACAGTAAAAAAAAGAACGAGCCTCATTTCCCTGACCCCGAAAGAGCCCCTAATTTCGCACCGTTGGATAGGACGAGTACGGAGAGGCTGCTAAAATCTCAGGGGCAATGGAAGCTGCCTGGATTTCAAAGAACTATGGTGAAGATCTGTACCTAGAATGCACGTACATTTGCATCCGAGTCCTCGATAGAAGACTTGCTCATGCAAGCAAAAAGGATAAAGTATGCTGTCAACGCCCCAGCCGAGACGAGAAGATGCCAGCCTTTCAACGCCGTCTATGACACCAGAAAAGAACTGTTCCTCGGAACATGCGAGAGTAGAGGAGTCGACGGCGTCGGCGTTCTCGTCAACACGAGTTTGTTCATGAACATCGATTCGTTCGAACAGCTTACAGCCTGAATCAGACGTTTACGATTAAGAAGACGTGGATCGATTCCGGCTTTGATAATCTTCGTCGCTTACGCGCCGACATCAAACTATGACGAAGAAGAAGTCAAAGCGTTCGATATGGACTTGGAAAAGTTCTACAAAGAAGACCACATATTCTTCAAGGTCATCATTGAAGATTTCAACGCCAAGATTGGATTAAGAAGAAGGTCTGAAGAACGTCACATTCGGACTCACGGATTAGAATGGAACGAACAGGATGAGCGGCTGTCAGCCCTGAGTTTATCCTGGCGACCAAGACCGTCCATGGTAACTCACAATTCCAGAAGCCCCACCCTCAGTGCTGGACGTGGGAGTCTCCCAATGGAGTGTACCATAACGAAATAGAGCACATCATAGTGAATAGAAAGTTTTGCCTAACCGATGTCGCTGTTTTCCCAAAATTCTACACGGGATCAGACCATCGTGTCCTTCGTGCAAGATTCTATTCCTCGTGGAAAGGTGAAACAGCCGCCAAATTCCAAAACCGAAGCCCCAGAACCACCGTAAACTGGGACTTATTTAATTGATTAGTCGGCTGATGGGAAGATGCCGTTGACGATAACATCGAGGAAGAATACAGTCGGCTCATTAAACATCTTCACGTTAGCGCTATGAAAGCTGAGAGTTCGAAAGTCACCAAGAGACGTCTGTCTCCAGAAACACTCGAGCTGATACGCCAGCGTGGAATCGCACGAGCTGCAGGCAACCGCGAACTATAGTCCGAACTTGTAAAACAATGCAGACAGGCGATAAAAGAAGATCTTAAAGAGAGAAGAGCAGCAGTAATGGCCGAAGCTGCAGAGACTGGGAAAAGCACTTGCAAAGCCCAACGAAGCTTCGCCAATTACAAAACCACAATGATTGCACTCCGACGCCCAGACGGAACAGTTACAGCGTCCAGAAAGGCAATTTGAGAAAATCAACCACGAATACTACTCGGACCTTTTCGATAGCAACGTCCAGCTTCCGCTATATGAAATAAAGGAGGATGGATATGTTGTACCATAGGTTTTCCCTTCCGAAATCGGACATGCCATTTCGCCGGTGGAAAATCAAGCAGCACCAAGTCCGGACAGGATAAGACCAGAACATCTGAAGAACCTTCCGCCAGTCCTCGTAAACACACTGGCTCGGTTCTTCACACGTTACCTGTCCGATTTCAAAGTATCTACTCAGTGAAACACTAGCAAGACCGTGTTATTGTTCAAGAAGGGTGACCGGCACGATATCGGCAACTATCGCCCAATCTGCTTACTGTCTGTCGCCTCCAACCTTTTCACTCGAGTCATCCTAAGCAGGATTGAGAGAACACTAGACGAAGGACATCCATGTGTGCAAGCAGGGTTTCGAAGAGAATTTAGTACGATGGACCACATCCACACGGTAACAAGGCTCAGTGAAGTATCGCGAGATTACAAAAGACCGCTCTGTCTCACTTCCATCGATTTACAGAAAGCCTTTGGTCCAATTGAGATAGAAGAAATCATGGAAGCCCATGATAGTCAAGGATTCCCTGCTCAGTATATAAAGGTCCTTCGTGAGCGATACAAAAATTCCACAAGAAAGGTATTACCATTCCACAACGATATTAACATCATCATTCCACAACGATATTAACACTGACGTCAAAAGTAGAGTTAGGTAAGGCGATACCATCTCGCCAAAATTATTTACGGCCACCCTCAAAAACGTCATGCGGACATTGTAATGGGATAACATGGGAGTGGAAATCGGCGGTCGGCAGTTACACCATCTTCGCCTTGCTGATGACATCATCCTTGTAACACCAAAGATTAGCCAAGCGGAACGTATGCTTGACGACTTTGATAAAGCCTGTGAAAAGATTGGTCTTCGACTAAATCTCACAAAAACGATGTTCATGAAAAACGGATTGGTTTCGCATGCCCCACTCACGCTCAACGGAACGAATATCTCCGAATGCTCCAGTTATATTTATCTAGGTCGGGAAATCAATACGATAAACGACCTAGCTCCAGAGCTAAGCAGCAGAAAACTGGCGGCTTGGGGAGCTTTCAAGAGCATCGAAGATGTAGTGAAGAGAACAA